TCCCCAAAGTGGGCGGTGCATGGACCTCCTCCTTCCATTCTTAAAGATATTTTATTGCTCTATCTTCTTAAAAACATTAGAAATAAAAGTACCGTAAATTATATACAATTATACTTGCTGAGGTTTGTTTCATGTATTCCCTTTGTCTCTTTGTTCGAAACTATTTAATCCGAAAATTCATAACTCCGACGAAATGTGCCCCCCTCAAAAATTCAAAATTCCGTCAAAATATGCCCCCCTCAAATCTTGTGATGGCGTAACTAGAGCCATGAAACCCCCTTGTGGGCACTTCTGAGTTGGAGAGTGATAAAAAAAAAAAATAGCGAATAATTTACGATTTAAAAAAAAACAGGGCTTATCTTGGTTTAGGAGCTTAAAAGTCTTCTTTAAATCATTTCAACAACGACAAAATCTATTTTCGTTTGAGGTGAGTTTTATCTGATTTACAGTGAATCAATTGCTAATTAATTAAATTAAGTATTTCTTTAGTTTTCGCTTCTTATTAAAAAAAATGACATAAAAAACACAAAAGTAAAATTTCCTATTTTTATGCCGAAAATCGGACCAATATTTATATAATTGTGAGTAAATGATTGACTGTCGTGAATAATGAAGAGAAGAATAGTTGGGGTGATCAGTCAAATAAGAAGGCAAAAATAAATGATAATATTTATTTTGACATTTGCTGACGTTTCGACCTGAAGTTCAGGCCTTCATCAGGGCTAAGAAAATAACCAGATAACAAGGTATGTGAAACATAAATAGTGTAGGCAAAAAAAAATTAAAGTAAAATGAAGTTGTTAGAATAGTGACAATAGCAAGAACTAAGAGATAAATCATAATAACCAATATTTATATAATATAATTTCAATCCGTACATATATTATTACAGTAAGGCTCGAAATAGGTTTTGTAGCAAATATAAGCTCCTGTCATGTTCGCATCCACACAACCTTACATTAATTGTAGTACTATCATTGAATATATGTCTCATTTTGTCGACTTGAGGTCTCTATGATCGAGAGAGGGGGAGTTTATATTATTCATCGATGGTGTTTTTGATCGGCAAGCCATATCATCGTTTGAATAAAGAAAATAAAGAAACTTTATTTGCAAATAACTAAAAAATTAAACCTTTTTCCTTTGGTTATGCCCATAATTATATAAAAGATTACTAAATTCCCTACAAAAGGAAAAAAAATCATCCCAATCGGACAATTTTTAGCAAATATACAGCTTACTGAAATTTGTATACATGTTGGTTCCAAACAAAAATGAAGATTTAAATTAATTTTTGTTTGCTTTTTGGATTATATTTATCGATAAAGTAACATTTGATGTCTCAATCTTTCGGTAAGTTGCATTTTTTTATTTTCTTATTAATTTGGCATTTGATAACTATATGCTGTGCGAATTTTTCGCACGGGCCTACTAGTATTTATAATTTCAATTTATTTAAAATTCAATTTAATTTCAATTTATGATTTCAATATTTGTAAAAACTTTTTTGTAGCATTTGAGGTAAGCTCTCACATCTTTAGATATTATATGGACAAACTTTTGTTCATAATGGTTCAAATTTCTCTTCTCTAAGGGACACACTGTATATAGTAAAGTAAGTTAAATACATTGTTGCAATGTATTAAAGCTTATCTCGAGTCAAGACAAAGCGAATTAATTCTGAACTGAAAGAGGTGACATCCTTGCTTTGACAAAAAATCCTTCAAAGAAAACTAAAGTATAAAAAAAAACTAAGGTGTGTGCTTTAGACCACGCGATAGAATTGAAAATATCAACAGGGCGAGATTAATAATATGAAATATAAATTATAAATAGTAGATCATTACAATTTCTTTTCCTTTGACTCACTAACACGGCGTCGCGTTAAGATACAATTTTAAATAATAGCTCATTACAAAGAAGATGAAATGGTGAACATTTCCCTCACTAACAGTACACAGGCCCGATTTTTCGTATCTGGGATATTTTAATCAATATGTAAAAACATTTCAATTAGTCGACTCTAGCCGACTTTATCCGAGCGTTAATACATCGGATATCTGATGGATCAATCTAATTCACTCTCCATAAAAAAATGTAAAACGCGCCTAAAGAAGTTTTCACTTAAAAAATCTTTATTCTAAAAACATTTACATTAAAATGATAAGGATCTTTTGTCGCTGGGACAAAGGTAAGGAAGACGAGACGATCGCAAAAAAAAAAAAATATATGGAGGTAACTGAGAGAACCCGCAGAGAATAACATCAAAAGTGGTGCTACTCTTTTATCTCGAATATAGGAAGCATTTCTGTCTCGATTGCTTCTGAATATCTGTAATTCCGATACCTCAGCACTTCCTTTGTCTCTGTACAATCCAAGGGAAATCTTTATTTTCCAACACACATATATATATTGTATGTGTGTGTATATATATGTGTGTATATATATGTGTGTATATATATATATATATATATATATATATATACACACACAATATATGATACTATATATATATTGTAAGTACGCCACCCATCTAATAATTGAGCAATCATCTTAAAGAATATCTTCTCATTCAGTACCGAAAATAAATTATTATTCACTATAATTGTGCAAACTTAAGCCTGACTCCACCGATTCACACGAAAATTATTAGGGATTTAGGGTCTTACATGCTACACGAAATTGTTCAAATCCCACCTCCATAAATAAATTAAAACCAAAGATATATTTTTCTTAGTTTCTAACTTATAAAGGATTTAATTCCAACACGATTTTGATATGGCCATGGGAAGAGCCATTCTTTCCAACGGTTGTTCTAACGTTTAATTTGAATAAAATCATAAGGAGTTATGAATTCTTTAGTTACCTGCCGAGGAGAACGTTCTCAAAGAAAATAAAGTACTATATTTTATAATTTTTGATTTCTATATAAATTCGTATTTAAAAGTTTCAAAGGAAACTAAAAACGAATTTAACTTGCTTTTTCATAACAAACATTTATTTGGCCTAATTTACTGAAACTGCTTTTTGATTTTTTATAATTTATGATACATTACAACTCATGTAATTCTATAATCAATATTTTTCTCTTATTCTGTATAAAAAAATTAAATAGGTTGGTATATAATAATCTAAGTATCCGGATAAAGCAAAAGTAAAAATAAGCAACATAAATTGTGTTTGAAATTATATAAAAAATATTTTTCGGATCCTAGGGCACATTGCAACGAACGCCAATAAATCTGACCAATATTTTTCGATGTTGTATAACCGAAAGAAATTTGGTTGAAATAATTGACCCACTGACTATAGTCTCCACTTGTGAATATATTGGTGATGGTGCAAAAATTTAAAACTTGGTGAAAATGTCAACTTTATTTATTGATGCACAAACAAAGATCATTTTATTTAAGAAAGACAATCATGCAAAGCGCACAATGTTATGATTTCACAGAGGGAAAACTTATAAAAGTAATAAGTGATTTAATTTTACAAAATATTACGTAATTCTTTTTTTAAATATGGCTCTCTTTTCCGCCGATTAGAGATCTTGCAGCCCAGTAGCATTCCGGTTTTGGCGACATGGTATTCTTATGTTCACCAAGGGCGAGCATACACCTAAATGCATTGCGTCCATATGTTATCCCGAATCACATAGGTTACAATGTGGAGATTCTGCCTCTCCTATTCTCTGCAACTGCTTCCTAAGGTTGCCGTGGCCTGTTATCATCCGAAACTCTGCCACAGCTTCCTTTCTTGGCAGGTTCATGGGAACTCGATAAGATACATTTAACAATTTTCTCAAATGCTTTTCCGCAATACAGCTCTTAATCCAGTAGACAAGCGTCACTTGCCTTATTTATTTCTTTTTTGGCTCTATGATATGATATTCTATTTTCTTGCTGGTTCAATGTGGAACTCTCCTTCGCGAGTTTATCAGCCATTTCGTTTCCATAGCGACCACAGTGACTTAGTATCCATTGAAAGAATACCTCTGTTCCTTAAAGAAGTAGTTCCTCTATGATCTTTTGGCATTATGGCCGTGACAAAGCGAGAATAGTCGCCTTTGAATCCACAAACAATATGAGATTTTTGACATCTAAGTGTCACAAGGCTTGTAGTGCCCATAAAATTGCTCTTATTTCGCTGTCGAAATTTGATGCTCATTTCCCTACCGGTTTCGAAATAGCAACAGCCTGCCCTAATGATTTTTGTAATAAACCCACGATATATTATTTTTTTTAAATGTAGATATTTAATGGTTTAAAAAACAATGCTATTGGAAACAACTGAATTTAACCAGGTTTTGCATCGCATAAATACTCGAAGATTTACAAACGATACACAATGGGATACCGTATCAATTTTATTCTATAATAAAAACTAATTCTAGTTCTAGTTTAGATGTTGAAAAATTCGTTTTGAAATGATCTATTGTACATCAAAGTTATTTATGTTAGTACTTAGTTACTTAATTTTATAAAATGTTACTTAACGACTTTTTGACAGTAAACCGACGATATGATATTGCCAATATTATTCAAGCGTTACGAAATAATTTGTAAGTTGCTCCAATTCATAGGGTTGGTAACATATGTACCTTTTTTTCTTTTTTTTTTTGTCTGTGTCCTCCCCTTCCTCACCGTTAAGGCTATGCGGGGTTTTCCCGGGCCAGGGGATGTTGGCGAGGATTTAAAAGACGCCTTGGCACCGGGACGCGAACTCGTAACTATATCTATATCCTTTCATATATCAGGTTGCCGGGCAACGGTGGTGCTGTGCACAACGCGTCAGCCATTCGGCCACCCCGCTCACCGGTAACATATGTACCTAATCCAGAGAAGAACACTAGAGATCATAATAAGTCCTAAGCGTGTTACTCCAAGACTCTATGTCTTATTTCATTCCAATACTCCCGTTTTCTTTTTATAACGCAGGAGTCTGAATAAAATACAAGCTGATATAATATTTCCAAGAATTAAACATAGGCGTTCATTTAGGATTGAGGAGAAGCTGGCTATCCGAAGAGGCAGAGGACGTCCTAATTCCAGAGATGGAGGGGGGAAGGGCACAGCGGGACGGCGAAGGACCCCAGGGGAGCACTGGACCGCTAAGACTACATCAACAGAACTAGCCCGGCAGGGAGTGCCCTAAATACACTTGCAACAGGGCAACACTCGAGGGCGTCGCTCAAGGAGAAGTCTCGCTGGATAAATCGAATTAGTAGTCCATCTAATTCTAGGCAGCAAGAATTGCCTCGTCTCATGGAGTTCGCCAGGGCTCCGCTACTCTATTCGATTAACACGGGATGGAAAACAGTGATTAAATTTAAAACATGAGGGAGGAGGAAGGGGAGTGAGTCAGGGCTGTAAAAAAAAAAAAAAAAAATCATCAATTTATCATTTGTTTACATGAAATCAAGTTACAACTGACACCGATATTCAACCTGTAATAAGATTTTAATCAAGTCCTCCACATGAAGAAAAATACCGGACACACAGTTCTGGTGTTGGTATAAATTATAACATTCCATAATTAAATTTTTATAAGTTGTTAAAAATAAAAATAAAATATTAAATATTATATGATATGATTTATTTACACCTATACATATATATATTGGGTCGTCACTCACGAAATGATTATTCTTAGAAAAAAGAAAAAAAAATTGACAAATAAATCAGATATATTTTATTCAAAATATTTACGTTTACATTATTTTTCAACGCACTTTTGCCAACGACTTACCAATTTTCTATCCCAGATTTGAAAAAGTTTGAGACACAAGTTGAAAGAAAGTCAGAAACGCATTTTTAAATAACTTTTCTCTAATAAAGTTTTCCAAACTCCAAAAAAAGTTATAGGCTATAATAAATATCACGAGAATATGGGAGATGTGGAAGATTTTCATAGCCCAACTCCTTTAATTTATTAACTTTCTGTAACGAAATCTGTCTGTATCGTTCAGCTCTTGCTAGATCTAGTAATCATTACCTTAACTTAACTATTTCTTACAACACATTTTTCACCAGTAATAGACACTCATGTTCTAGAGTTAAATAGATTGTTTATGTAATTAAAAAAAATCCAAATAAATATCCACATTTTTAAACTAAGAAATAACAAACCACAGCTGAATGAATATAAATTTCAAACTTATCTCGTAAAGAAAAGTAATTAGAAACTTCCTCAAAACTAATGTTGCCCAAATGCGAGACCGAGAGGAGTCTTGGTATTGCAAACTCAGTCTTGTCATGGTCTTGGTCTTGCGCAAGAATCTCGCAGCAGTCTTGCAGTTGCTTATTAGCTTATTATTATACAGATATTACTGTATTTTTTTAGATAGGAGAAACCTAACTAAGCCCGGATGAAAAATTAAAGGAATGCCAAAATAAATTGGTTATACCAATTGTTAATATATAGTAACTAAAATTTTCAAGTATTAGTAACTATTTTGCCTAACAAAAATTATATTAAAAATCGAATTTTTTAAATTGGTCTTTAAACAGTTAAGCGGCCTAGGTCTTGGTCTTGTAAAGTGCAAAACCAAGACCGATTTTGGGCAACACTAGTAATCATGTTTTTTTTCACCTTCGCGAACAATTTTAAACTTCTAGAAACTGTCATTCGACTTCTCCCGAGATATGACTCAAGTTCTCTAACTGTTTTATGAGGTTTTTCTTTCGTACCTCCCTTAGATCTTTCTCCTCGATTGTTATTGGAGGCAATCCACGAGTTAGATTCTCTAACGTCGAATCTCCCGAAGAAAATTTATACAACCTAAAATCTTGATCAATGTTCCTTGCTGTCTGGGTAACGGAATGGCCAAGTTTTAACTCAAAATAATAGATCGATCGAAAATCGCATGTTTTCATTGTTAGCCTTGAAATGTAACTAAAGTCTGTATGCCTACTTGAGAACTAAGCAAACACTGTTAGTAAATAATTGATTTGCAAGTGCTTATTATAGATAGTAAATATTTTGCTGAAAATCAACAGACACCGTTTTCAAATCCTTTTCAAACTTTAAGATTTAAAAGTCACAAATAAAATAATCTATAAAGACCTCAATGTTCCATGTTTCCGATTTGGCCGAATCCAGACACCTATCCTTCCATAATAAACTTCATAACCATCCCAATCCTCTTGTTTCTAACTTTGCTTCCTATTCAATTCCTGATAACCCTCTGAGGCGTCTGAAAAGGAGATGACCACGTGATATCCTAATGTAGACAGATTATTAGAGTGCTACCAATGGGTAGTTTCTCAACATGTGTTTCATGTCATTATATCCATGTGCGAATTTGCTAGATGTATTTTTACTTTCACTTACGTATATATGTAATATATAGTAAGTGTAAGTATTGCGATCGAGAAAATTTTTGAATCTGAGTTTTCGACGGATTTATACGTTTTGAGGTACCCTGAGTCGAAATGACCAAGTCCCGACAAATGGTCTGTGTGTCTGTGTGTTTGTATGTTAGCAGTCTAGCTCAAAAACGAAAAGTCCTATGAAACTGATATCACGTATTTAAGATAGGTATATGCCTTAGTTGTGACGGCAACATTTTCCTTAAAATCGGCTAACCTGAAGTGCCACTTTATATCAACGCTGGAACACATTTTCACAGTTTTCTCAATAACGGCTCTAACGATTTTGATTAAACTCGGTGTATCATTGTATAATTAAGTGGTCTTTAATATAAATTAGGTCTTATCCCCATTGATGTCACTTTACAGGGCTTAAATGCCCAATGTTCATATACGTCTTCATCTAAAGTACCTTTAATATGGTTTATTTTAAGAGGATAATAATTTCGCATTATTCAGAGATACGAAAAAATGCTAAATATGACTTTTGAAAGAATTTGATAAGTTAGTAAAGGAGAAAAAATATAGAAATGCAAAAAAACGTAGCTATAGACTGTAGCGCCTAAAGGAATGTACCGAATTCATTAAAACTTCGCTAAAGTCATTTTTTCGACAACCTTCAAATTTATCTATATAACATTCATCAGCGAAAAGAAGCAGAGATAAAGTTAAGAGGGATGATATAAATAAATTCCGAATAACTCACAAAGTATATACTTTTTGGGAATGTTGTATATGGTTTTCTAAAAGTTTATGGAATAGCCTAAAAAACTAAAAAAAAAATCGTTAAAATCGGATAATTAGGAGATAAGATATGGTCTCTAGTTTTTTTTTAATACGTTCTGCTGCAATGGTTATATCCTTTGTTTCGGTTTTTTAATTTTGAATGTGTTAATAAGGAAATGCTAATTTTTTAATATGTATATAAAATCCACCTAAGCAAGTTGATGGCATTGTTAAAAAAACTATTTCAGTGTACTTGTGTGAAAGAAGAAATAAAATATAAAATCATTTCATGGATGTATAAATCATGTGTTTATAATATTAAATACATTTACTGTAGTGTAGTAATTATTTATTAAATTTTAAATTGGTCCATAATCGTCTTATCTTTTTGGCTACATTCAAGGAATTGCTGTGTTATATATGTGTGCGATGTTATATTGCGTTCCTGGAGTTTGATAATTTAAAGAGAAAAAAGGAATTTTTTTTTATTTTGGAAAATTGTTTATTATGCTATGTCTATTGTTTAATATGGCTTATTGTTGATAATTTGTAAGAGTATTGTTATGAAGGGGGAGAAAAAAAAAAGAAAAATATAATATAAAATTAATGTCCGTATGGATTGATAAGTATGCTGTGTACGAAGCAACCCTATGTAGCAGGGCAGCATTACTTTTAATAAAGTATTTCTCTATAAATAATTAGGTATTAAAATTAATTCCAAAATATTGTCATATAACTTTTTAGAAAACTAAATTAGTGAATAATTCGATAGATCTTCTCTTTGTGATATTCCTCTACCATTTCATTGTACTTGTGTGAAAAAAGAAGTGAAATACAAAAATATTTCATAGATACGTTTATAACCCTTACTGTAGTTTAATAACTCTAGATCTCACAATATATTTAAATATTTAGATATCTATCGTCCGTTTATTCCGAAAAATCATTATGTAACCTTTTAGAAAATTAAATTAGTGAATAGTTTGATAATTCTTCTTTTTGCGATGTTCCAACAGAATTCACTTACAATTAGTGTGACAACTTTTGACCTGTCTATGACAGACACTGCAAATCTCTTAATTCCGTTTTAATAAACTTTGCAATGGAAAATAACAGTTTAATGACTTATCGTACAATCCATAATCAATGGATCGAACAATCCATAATCAACGAATCGTACAATTCATAATCAGCCGGTAATATAATAAATAGGACTTTTGTTATTTTAATAGCATTTGTGTTTTTTTAGCTTTAGCTCAGTTTAAAATGCAATTTAAAACATTTTATAATAGCCTAACATGGCCAGAAAATAATTTTTATTCAAAGTTCAAAGAGTAAGTGAAAGTTGTGTGTTGCGCGCACCAGATTTTTTGTATACAGTTGTAAATATCATATAAATAAATAAAAAATAAAGATTTAAAAAATCGGTTATTTCATGTGTGACAATCCAATGTAAAACATGAGAGGGCCCTTTTAATAGCCATAATTAAACTTCTAAGCTGACGAAGCATGTCGAGGCGAAACTTAGCAACCTCGGATTAGAAGAGAGATCAATTTGGATTCAGCCTGGGTAGTCGATTTTACTTCGTGGCGAGCTTATGCTGTGTGTGATGTGAAAATACCTTCTCACTGTGGCAACAAAAGTTGGGTAACCTGAAGAATATGACCTTACCAGAGTTGGAGTACCTAACTTAAATACCAACTTATAAGAGAAGTAATGTATACTGTCCACCTGTCTCGACAGGCTTCCTACTGTTACATTTACTAACATTACTAAACTGTCATATTATTTTTTAATTGTAGCAGCAAATCAGTCTATAGAAATAAATAATTGATTACATAGCACTTGAAATACATTTATATTGATACATGGGGAGAAAGTAAAAATATATTATTTGATGTATTCTGAGGTTTATGCACAATTTTCAGGTCATCTTCAGGGCTACAAACAAAACATGAAATCTAGATTGTAACTCTAACAAACTTTATACTCTGACATTATACTTATAATTTTCATAATGGTATTTATGAACAGAAAATCGTTTTATATAAGACACT